TTTATTTTAATAGCTTTTCTTTTTTTGTATAGCTTCTCAAGATAGTTATATAGACTTTATATGACTATTTGAAAGTCATATTGACTGTCAACATGGTCATTCAAATATTTATTGGATAGCTTCTCAACATATGACTATCGACTTTCATGTATGGTTTCTAAAATTACATGGTTGTCTGCTTTTCTTCGTGATGCTTTTAGTGTTGCTTTTGCTTGTCTCTTCATCTCTTCTATCTATGTAATATTTATGCCCACAAAATTCTTTTTCAGACTATTGAAATTCTCCTCAACAAAATGAGCTTCCTTCAAGTTGAGGTGAGTTTACCATTTAAATTAGTTTATTTTTCCATTGAATTCTATGGTTGATTTTGTGTCATCTCGTAAGTCTGGTTGGAAATGTTTCCTTACATGTAATAATAATAAAAATCTTGCACATTGGTTATAAAATCAATCGTGGGGGATCTGAGGATGATCTAAAAAATTAGAACAATCTATTTCTGCTATACTCCCATTACATTTCATTTCTGCTTTTTGGCTTAAATGCTGACAACTGGTTGCCATGCCCAGGGTTTTCTGGCTGGTGTTTTGGATTCTTTGGCAGTTGAGTTGAAGGGAACAAAAGACTTTACAAAACTATACACAGGAATTTCAATTCTTGGATGCATTGCTTCTCTGGAGGATTCCATAAACTCACATGCATTCTCTCAACTTGCATCCTTTCTTGTCCATCGCTATCCAAAGGTACAAACAATCTGTCTTATTTCTATAGATATTAGTAACATGTCCAGCTAATCGTATATCCTTCTCTCTCTCTATCTAATGTTTATTGGTCATGGTTTTGGTGAGTCAGCCGACTCACCTATTGCTGTGCTGTCCTTTGTCTATCTAACGTCCATCTCTAAGATGGATGTCAAAAACTGTTACATCCACTAAAAGTTAAATTGGATAGTGAAGAAAGGAATTCAAAAAATAACATTTATGTTTATCGAAAGAGAAAAATTCTAAATATAGATCATTGTCATGGTTGAGATTATCGAACCCTAAATTCTTGGATTGAAAATACATCTTTGAGATATATTTTATAGGGAGACCGCAAATAAATACCAACTCACCAAACACTTTTCCATGTTTATTTTTCTTAAAAAATTGTATTGCCACTCTGCCATTCTCTCTTTCTCTCTCTCTCTCTCTCCCCACACCCACACGCACATATACACAGTTTTTAATATTTTTTGGGTAAATAAATTGCTTTTTTTTTTTCGAAAAAAGTGTATAGTGACAACTAATATTCTTAAGATCGGACCGGCCATCGAACCGGTGAGGGCTTTGGTCTAGTTAAAATTGGTCCAACCACTGGTCGAACCCGTTGTACCGATTTTAAAAAAAAGAAAGAAATGTTGATATAATAATATAATATATAAAATGTATTAAAAAATTTTCCCACCCTTATTTAGCTGGTCTGATTGGCCAATACCAATCAAATATTGGTTTTGACCGGTTCTCGATCAAATCCAATTTTTACCTTTGACTAAACCGACCAAGGCTGGTTGGCGTTCTGATCAGTCGGAGCACCAGTTTGGTTTGGTTTTGATAACTATGATGAGAACCTTTAGTACAAAAAGTCACAAACACCCCAAGTCATTAGATGTGAAGTTGGGTGGCTCAGGTTTCAGCTTTGACTGCTGGTCAAAGTATAAGAAAGTTGTACCTCTCTCTTTCTGTAACTCTTAACTGGTGTGTCCTCTCCCTCTGAGTGTCATTTTTGTTTGCTGAACTTCTTTTTCAACATCTGAATGCATATTCCTACAAAAATCTAAAGCATTTGTTTCCTTCTCACTGTTTTGTTATACAGGCTCATTGGTAGGTTATATAAACCATAGCAGTTATGTTAAACTTCTATTGTTAATTTTGCTTTTGTCAAATTTGGAAATATCCTCAAGATTCAATTTACTCCGCTTAGGCTTGGGACTAGGCCATGCCTCAGCTGATTAATTCCGGCGAGTCCAAGTGGATTTGCCCAAGTAGTGTATGAGCCCAAAAAGGAGCTAGAATATCTATCTATC